TTTAATAATTTTATTTAAAATCGCTTATACAATCATATACAACCCTAAAGCAAAAATAGAATAAACTAAAATAAAAAAAAATAATTAATATTTTTTTTATAGTGAATTTCAAACTATTGACCTAAAATGATGCTGTCATGTTTATAAATTAGTAAATGATGTTTTTGTAAACAATCCTTATTGGTCGCCAAAATAGTAAAAATCTCCTTATAAGGCAAACTTATGTAAACTCACCTAACAGCCGTCTGAATTGGTTAATCCGTTTTTTGCAAGAAAATGTAAATTTTAACTTATATATTTATTTGACAAAGTAGATTTTTAAAAATATTTTTATTGATTTAAATTTCGACTTGGTTTAAAACAGTGTTCACTGCACTACTCACGAGCCAACATTCGCTATGTCGGGAGTCATTACAGAGAAGCGTCGTTTTTGACGTCAGAGAGTACAAAATTAGGCGTCTTGTATGACGGCAACCTTGCAGAGTTAAAGAGAGGCGCAACGTAAAATACTTACAATTTCTTATTTATGTTTATTAAGCAGGTCTGCGATGAAAAAGTTTATTGAATACTATATACAGGGTCCTGCAACAGTGCGTCGGGCTTTCCTAGTGCCTTTACAGTGAGGGATAGAAAAAAAAGTTTCCTACAAAAATTGTTGGTTTGAAAATCTTTATGCCGAGAAATTATTTTCAACAATACAGGGTGTTCCATTTTTTCGGTATAACAAAAACATACATTTTTTTAAATGGAACACACTGTATTTATTTAAGTTTTCCGATAACATCTTTTAACCTCTTCATTGTTGTCCATTTACTTTTTGATTTAAATACAGTGTTGTCAACTTACAATTTTTTTTTCAAAAAATCTTGCAAAAGCAAGCTGAACTTTAAAGAATCGTAGCGACCTCAGTTTTTAAAGGTAAGAATAAATTTTAGCAACAATCCCAGTGCAGTTAATAAGCATCATTTTGATTATGAGCAATTTAAATTTAGTAATACAGGGTTTTCAGAAATAAATGCCAAACTTTGCAAACTTCAGAGTGGTTTAACTATTTTTTTTCAAATGGAGTGCCCCATATTTTATGTCATCATTCGATAGGTCTTTTTCTCCTCTTTAATGTGATATGCCATATCTTATTTGTAAACCTCATAGTTGTTAAGATATTCAATATTTTTCACAAAAGTAACCATTTAATTAAATTTCTATGCACTGAAGTAGGCCGTGCTGAAGCAAAATGTAAGTAATTGTCAATGTAACATTTGATAAAATTTTCTTATGTTAAAACTCGAAATGTTAATTAGTAAAGACCAGATTTTAGGCAAAATACCTTTCGTCAATTTTAATGGGACATTAAAAATTCTTCATGCAAAATAAGTTTTGGGCATTTTTAGTGAAGTTTAATCCAAAATCATTTTTGCCTTGTTTGCCTCTCTTAAAATGCCTAAATGTCCGGTCTCTATTAATTAGTTTGTATTAAATATTAAAAACTGACCCTGTAAAAAAACTTTTAAAAAAACTAGAAAAAACGTTGCTGTTTTTGTATCATAAAAGTGCTTCTCTCTGTTTTGTCGTAAATTAACATGAATTTTGAAAAAGACGAACTATAGTCGATATGATTTTTGTATTGGGGGAGACTGATCGAACTTGTTTATTGGCGGCTAGAATTTACGCGATGCGTTATCCAGAAAAAAGACACCCGGATGAGAAAAGCTTCAGGAAACTACTCAATAGATTTATTGAAACGGGAAGTGTACATTATAAAAAACAAGAAAGAACAAAACCTGTTGTCAATGAGGAAAACGAATTTTCAGTGCTATTAACAGCAACTGAGCATCCCAACATTAGCCAAAAAGACATCGGTGAAGCAACCGGCATAACCGAGAGATCAGTACAACGGATTCTAAAGAAGAATCGATATCATGCGTACCATATTCAGTTGCATCAAGAACTTAGCAATGCTGATTTTCAATATCGTTCCGAATTTTGCACCTGGGCAAGGCTGAAAATACAGGAAGATCCTGCATTTTTTCAGTATGTTTTATTCACTGATGAGGCGAAATTTCATTAAAGCGGATCAGGCACAATTTTCATTATTATTCAACTGAAAATCCGCATATTATGAAACAAGTTGATCATCAGCATCGATGGTCTTTGAATGTCTGGGGAGGAATTGTTGGAGGATATGTGGTAGGTCCACATTTCTTCGATGGTCATCTCAATGGGCCTATGTATTTGAATTTTTTGGAAAATGTTTTACCTGGATTATTAGCTAATGTACCTCAACATACAAGAAACAGGATGTGGTTTCAACAAGACGGGGCACCTGCGCATTTTTCGCGAGACGTGAGGGCATATCTTGATGGCATTTTCCCCAACCAGTGGATTGGTAGAAATGGACCCTCCAGATGGCCTGCTAGATCTCCGGATCTGACAATACCTGATTTTTTCTTGTGGGGGTATGTAAAGGGAATTGTTTTTAACGAACCACCTACCACACTTATGAATATGCAACAACGGATTGTAAACGCTTTTGCAAGTATTTCACCTGAAATGTTAGGAAGAGTGCAAAGGTCTTTTCAGCAGCGAATTAATTTGTGCCTGAATGAAAATGGAAGACATTTTGAACAATTACTATAGTAACGTTTTTAATATGTATTTTCAATTTTTTTTACCTTGCATGGTTTTTGAATAAAATAATTAATCTTATTATTATTAGTATTAGTATTATTTGTTATTAGAAGTCATTTTGACTCTTACATTTTGACAGTCGTTTTGTCCCAACACTTTCTACTTAAAAATGTAATGAAATGGTTACTTTTGCGAAAAATATTGAATATCTCAACAACTATGAGGTTTACAAATAAGATATGGCATATCACATTAAAGAGGAGAAAAAGACCTATCGAATGATGACATAAAATATGGGGCACTCCATTTAAAAAAAATTAGTTAAACCACTCTGAAGTTTGCAAAGTTTGGCATTTATTTCTGAACACCCTGTATTACTAAATTTAAATTGCTCATAATCAAAATGATGCTTATTAACTGCACTGGGATTGTTGCTAAAACTTATTCTTACCTTTAAAAACTGAGGTCGCTACGATTCTTTAAAGTTCAGCTTGCTTTTGCAAGATTTTTTGGAAAAAAAATTGTAAGTTGACAACACTGTATTTAAATCAAAAAGTAAATGGACAACAATGTAGAGGTTGAAAGATGTTATCGGAAAACTTAAATAAATACAGTGTGTTCCATTTTAAAAAATGTATGTTTTTGTTATACCGCAAAAATGGAACACCCTGTATTGTTGAAAATAATTTCTCGGCATAAAGATTTTCAAACCAACAATTTTTTGTAGGAAACTTTTTTTTCTATCCCTCACTGTAAAGGCACTAGGAAAGCCCGACGCACTGTTGCAGGACCCTGTATAAAAATATAAGCTTTGTTTTAACCGATCACGTCACAATTTTTTTTATTCACATATATACATATAATATTATACATATGTATTATTATTATATTAGGGTGATTTGTTTTAAACATACGTTATTTTTTATTCCCACAACATAATTTTAATGTATGTTTAGAATCGAAAAACCCCTTAAAGTTTTAGCCCTTAACATTGCTCCTAAGTACTTTAATTTTGATTTTAAAATTTTTTCATTGAAATAACAGGAAATTTAATGTTTTTGTCAATTTCCTGTAACTCGGCGGAACTTCAGTTTATATAGGTGCGATTAGTAGATGTTTAGTTTCTCTTTAAAAGTACTTTCAGCAATTTAACTACAACTCATATATTTCGACCTGTATAAGTTACCGAAGTAATATTTTTTTGCATTTTACGGCAAAACGGTTAAAGTTGCAAATTAAAAGTATAATAGTATATTATGTATCAAGTTTGATAAACGCCATTTTATACACGAATTTAATTTATTTGCTTAAATTAATGAGTGTATAGAAGCGTTTATACGACAAATACTTATTATTATCTTAAAATGATTTAATTCAAAAATTTATATAGAGCGCCATCTATGAAACAATAGGGGAATCTGTGTGTCACCGTCAAATGTCAAATTTTTATATTTTATAAACACAGATTATAAAGGTTATAAATCGAAATGTATTTCTTGAAAATTGACAGTTTTTCACAGTGAAAGTAAAGAAAATGTTTTATGAGCACTTTACAGTGGAGTCCGTGCCCGAATTTAAGTGATAGTTTACTCCCGGCGAAATTAAAAGGTCAGTACAATGTTCATAAAAACTTTTCAAATATTGGCGTTGAGAAACTATTTAATACTTTTGTAATGAGATAATAAAATAATTTTCACATTTAGTGTTATTTTAACAATTGTATGACATTTGACAACTGTCAACTAACTTAAAACTAACTTCAGCCTGTGACTAAAATCCTGTTGCTAACTTCAGCCCGTGACTAAAGCCACAACTTGTCAATGTGTATTTAAAAGGTCACTTAGTGTCATGGAAACATGTACGATAAAGGGCGTTTTAAAGGTGGGAGTAGAAAAAATACTTTATAGCAAATTAAGTTTTCTACAAAAACGGTTCCATGCATTAATAAAATTAAATTTATAGTTTAAAAAATATAGATTATTTAATAAACTTAACTGTCAAATCTTGATATATTATAATTACTAACACCGTGTCGTCTAAATCTGGTAAATGTGAAGTGGTATATACCATATGAATATAATTTTAGGTAACTTTCTAGACATTTATAACAAACATTAAGACTTTTATAAAAAAAACTTCAAAAAGTAGTAATTTTGCAGATCCGTGTTATTATCAGTAGGTAAAAGTTTTTTTATGTTTTGTAATTGCATCTTAACTTTTAAAAGATGATAACCAATCAGATTATCGCAATCTAGTTGGCGGTGGAGAATGCCATGTCAAATAAATTTCTATAGAAAATGAATTCGAAAATTTCAAAAAACTCCATCTGACCTCCTTATTGAAATACTGCTGTGTGAAGCATTTTATCTTACCGTTATTGTAGATGTCACCCTTGTAGTTCTTTTTTCAGTCGATGTAGGTGATGTAGAACTTGTAGTTGTAGAAGATGTAGCTGATGTTGCTCTATTTTCCATGCCGGATAAAATTACTTGCGAGCCTATAAACTTGTTTAGAAGACTCCTAGCTTCAACGTCTTCCTCTGTATCACCATCCTCATAATCTACAAGGACGAAATAATTTATAACTTAAGTGTACAATGACTTTATATTAAGTTGTTAGTTACCTTCAGCTTTCATCATGCATATAACATCTTTTAAACCCGTCACTTTAGAGCGATTTGTTAAAAATGATTCACCACCTTCAATAGTTCTAGATGATTTTGTTGTAACGGTTGTCATCATTTTTTCTTCAACTATGATAACAAATTTATTTACAATTCATAATACTTTTTTTAAATTGTTTTACCTGGTGAATCGTCTTCAGACCCTGTATCTTTGAAGCTAGAAGTGCGCAAAATCAATCCTGCCTTTGGGTAGGAAGACTGCCTCTCACTCTTCAAAGTTTCCACTGAAAATAAATACATTCCTTATCCCAATTAACTTTTTAAAAATATTTCTGTATTTTACCTGCATTATCAATAAATTTCTGCGACATAGCTTTCACAGAACCCCTCCTGGTGAACTTAGTAGCAGTACTAGAAGAGGTTGTTACACTTTTGTCGTTAGTTTTTGTTATAGTCTGAAAAAAAAGGCATTAATTTCTTAACTTAATATTTTCATAACATACTTTTTTCTTGTCGTTTGACCCAAACTTTTGGGTCGTTGTTACGCTACTTATGCCTTTATTACATCTTAAGTCTTCGTTAGAGCCTAAATCCTCTGGATCGTTCGAATATTTCGTTACGCTAACTTGACCTACCGGTTCCCCTCCGTTTTCTGAATAGTATTTGCTTCTTATTACCGTTCCTTGTACTAAATAAAAAATAATAGTTAATGCCGAAGTATCAATTTATTAAATTTAGCGTGTACCTTTAGTTTTTTCAGTTTTATTCTGAGCCCTTAAAGCCCTTAATCCAAATAATGGTGTACCGTTCTCGTCTGTTGGCCCTACACCGTAACTTGAAGTTATAATATCTGTAGGTTTTATATCTTTTATTGGGCTTGAAGATCTTTCAGAACCTTTTTTTGTTGTTGTTGTCGTTGTAGTGGTAACAGTACTCCTTTTTATCGGTGCCGAAGTCTCATTGATTTTCCTCAAATTTCTTTTTTTTACCCACTCGGGTTGATCATCTGTGACATTTTTGGTCACAGTGGAAGTTTTTTTTAATGTTGTAAATGTCTTGGTTTCAGGTTTCGTAGTTGGCTTTCTTTCAGGCGACAGCCTGGGTTTAGGCGATGGTTTTCTTTCAGGCGACAATCTGCTTTCAGTAGCCAAATGTTTTTCAGGACTTTTACTTCTGTATTCAGTAGACATTCGCTTTTCCGGACTTTTGCTTCTGTATTCAGTAGACGATCTTCTTTCATCATAAGTGTAAGATGTTTGATATTCTGTCTTGGAAACTCTATCGTCTTTTTTACTCACAAGATCAGTATGTTCGTATAACTTATTGTTATTTACAGGTTTACGTTCAGGACTAGTTTTTCTTGTGTATTCGGTCTGATATTCAGTGTTTTTTCTTTCTTCAAGTTTATAAGGTTTAAATTTAGTTGGGCTAGGTTCTCTTTTGGGAGAGGATTTCGTTTTTTGTGTAACATGACTCGAGAGTTTCTTTTCTTGTATTAACTTCTTTACTAGCCTAAGTTGCGCCCTTATTTTTCTTCTTAAATCATAACCAACGACTTTTATTAACTAAAAAATATAATAATATAAAAATTACACATATACAGTAAAAAAAATACTTACAAGTTCTTCCAATATATCTAGCTCAAATATTTCATCAATTTCATCTTCAGTTACTCTTTTTTCCAAAGTTATACTGCTCTTTCTTCTTTCAGTGGTAATACTAGTTGATGTTGACGCGAATTTACCCGAATCTGTCCTTTTTAGTTTAACTCCAAATTTAGTGGGTCTTACATCCTCCTCTTCAAGTTCAGGTTTTTTTACTTGATTAACAGCATCCCTATGGGGACTGTTAGGCCTTAGACTTCTGTCTAAGGGTTTCATGTAGTGCGGAAGGTCACCTTCTGGCGATGATTCTCTATCGCTATGTTCGTAGGTTTTTGTGGTATAAATTTCAGGGATTTTTTCTGGCGATTTTTCTCGGATCATTTTGTCAATAACTAGTTTTGTTGATTTAAGTGTGTCCTCTTTTTGAGTAGTAGCTGTTGTTTTTTGAGTAGTTTTGTATGTGGTAGTCTCTTCATCGTCAGAGAAGCTTAAACGTTTCTTTAACTTTGTAATTTTGTTTTCTTGTTCTTTAAGTCTACGCCCTTCAAATACAGATGGTCTACTAAGTATATCTCGTTGTTTTAATACTTCTTGTTCTCTGGATATGTTTTCAAATATTGATTTGGCTTTCTTTACGCTATCGTTGGTTCTAAATGTACTAGTACTAGTTCTAGTGGTCGTAAGTTCATTTGTAGATTTTGGAGTTCTATCCGGACTTGTACATTTTGTTTTTGTTTTAGACTCACGGCTTTCACTTTTATTGATGCTTGCATATTGATTGGACAGGCTTTTCTCAGGTGTTTTTTCAGGTGAACTTCTTGTGTAAGAATGTTGTTCAGTTTCTGTAGTTAATGACTTTGTAGGCGATTGATCAGGTGACAATCTGGTTGGTGATGATCTTTGTGGTGATGACCTTTGTGATGATGTTCTACTTATGGGTTTAGGTTTTACAGGCTCAGATATCGACTTTCTTATGTTTTTGGATGTTAAGGCATCAGCTGTTGATATGAATTTGGTTACTTTGTCACTGACGCTTAATAAACAGACGTCCTCTTTAATGTTTTCATCAAGGTTAGATAATTCTGGGCGGTCTACTTTGGGTGCTACTGCACTAGTGGTGTCCTTAGGTTTTACACTATCTTCTGCTGTAGTTGTGAATAGCGAAACTTTGCTGGAAACATTAATATTTTCGTTAACTTCTGAAAAGTTTTTACATATTGGGCTCTTTGGTCTATCCACTTGTTGTTTAGGAATAATAAGTTGTTCGGCTGTACTAATAAACTTGGTTACTTTGTCCGAAACACTCAATAAACATTCATCGGATTTGAAGTCTTCATCAACTACCAATGTTGGTCTTTCTACCTTAGGTGCAGGCTTTCGCGAATTTTTACTTAAATCTTTAGCGGTGCTCAAAAATTTACTTATCTTTTTATCTACAGTCATAAGGCTGTCATCAGTTTCGTCCACTCTGTCAACTTCAGTGATTTTCTTATTGTCAGTGATGTCAGTAATTCTCGTAAATTGATAATTATCTTCGGATTCAAATATTGGGATATCTGACAGTTTTTTAGGTTGATTTTTAACTCTGCAATCATCTGGTTCTATCACTACGTCGGGGTAACGGGGTGAAGTGCCATCTTCATCTGAATCAACAGGTAATGGACATAGTCTGTCTGGTGTAGGCTCCCTTGATGATGTGGATCTTAATAGATCAATTATAATTTTGCTTTCTTTATTAAGAATATCCTTATTATTTATCGTGATGGATTTAGTTGTGACGCATTTTTTTTTAGAATCTTGTAATAATAATTCCGGTTTAGAATTGCCACGTATCGGACTTCTAGGTTTCTCCTGCGTATTAAAAATTTGATCACTAGTTGTTCTCAATACTTTATTAGACTTTTGGGTACTTTTTCTTGTTATTACCTTATCGATATCAATATTATCCACAACCGATTCTACTTCTGATTCATCGTCGGTTGAAATATGTCCATTTTGTTGCTTAAGAGGTTTTTTAGTCGGCTGTTTTGGTTTTTGTTGGGCCAACTTAGTAATCCTTGATGTTGTAATATTTTTACTTGTTGCACTTGTAATGGGTTTTGTTTTTTTTACCGTAGGAGTTAAAGTGATAGTTGTAGAAACCTTTTTAGGTGATATAGGGGTTTCTTTAGGTTTTAACTTTGTTTTTGTATCCAATACAAAAGTTTTTTTAATTGGTGAAAACTTTTTAGGTTCAGAAATTTTCTTACATTGAGTTATTTTTGGGATTTCGTACACAGTTTTTCTGATTGTTGGTTTTTTCGTTTCGTTTACTATTTTAGTTGATTTTTTTAAAGTATTATCAACTCTATGAGTTCTAATATGAACTGAAGTATCCTCTTCATCGCTAAGATTTTCAACATTCCATAATGTAATTTTCTCTGTTGTTTTTTGAGGAATTTTCTCCGTAACTGTTGATGTAATGGGTTTTCTATATTTATCGGTATATTCAGTTATACCAGGTTTATAACCAGGTTTCTTAGGTGATTGAGGCACTTCTTTTTTAAATATTTTTGAAACAGTTGTTGTAACTTTATTTTCAGGTATTTTGGGTTTACTTGGTGATTTTTTAGTTTGTATTTCAATAGTGCTACGTTCATTTTGTATGAATGTTTCATTCGGGGTTTTGGTTTTTAATTTTTCTGGTTCATCCTTTTTGACAACTCTATGATCTTTTATTTTATTGGAAACAACTTCGGATTCTATAAGTTTCTCTATGTCTTCTCTAGTATTATTTTTCTTTTTGATGCTTGTTCTAGACATTTCCTCGTCTTTACAAAGCTGTGATATAAATTTCTCCGTTACCGGAGGTTCATTTACTGGTGCTGAATTTTCATACGTATATTCTTTAATTATTTGGGCAATTTCATCAACTTCTTCCTCAGATGATGATGATGATGATGATGATGATAATTCATCTTCTTTTGGTTTATTTTTCTTAGGCGATTTTCTGGATTGTGATGGGAATTCTAAAACAGCTGATTCTTTTGTGGGTTTTTTATTTTTTGGGTATTCACCAAGAGGTTCTCTTTCAGGAGTTTTTCTAACTTGAGAAGGAAACTCGGAAAGTGTTGGTGTATATCTTTCAGGGGATTTTCTTTCAAGATGGTCTTCTAATGGTTCTCGTTCAGGTGATTTTCTAATTTGAAAGGGAAATTCACAAACGCTTGAAGACATTTTTTCTGGTTTTTGTTTCTCAGGATAAGGTCCTAAGGGTTCTTTTTCAGGTGATTTTCTAATTTGAGATGGGAATTCACTAATGCTTGGTGATTTTTTGCCTGGTCTTTGTTTCTCTGGGTAAGGCTCTAATGGTTCTCTTTCAGGAGTTCTTTTTATTTGAGAAGGAAATTCATCGATTGAAGGCCCACTTTTAGTTGGTTTATTTTTCTCTGGGTATGGTTCAAGGGGTTCCTTTTGAGGCGATTTTTTTATCTGAGAATCAAATTTGTTTACAGATGGTTCAGATTTTATGGGTTTCTTCTTTTCCAGATAAGGTTCCAATGGTTCCTGGGTTGGTAATTTTCTTATAGAAGAAACCTCAGTTGATTGTGAATCCTTACCTGGTCTTTGTTTTTCTGGATATGGTTCCAGTGGTTCCTTATTGGGTGATTTTCTTATTTGAGAGGGAAACTCATTTATTGATGGTGAATCTTTACTTTGCCTACGTTTTTCTGGATATGGTTCCAATGGTTCCTTATTGGGTGATTTTCTTATTTGAGAGGGAAACTCATTTATTGATGGTGAATCTTTACTTTGCCTCCGTTTTTCTGGATATGGTTCCAATGGTTCCTTATTGGGTAATTTTCTTATTTGGGAGGGAAATTCAGAAATACTCGGTGAAGTTTTACATGGCTTTTTACGGTCAGGGTTATCTTGCATAGGTTCTTTAACCGGAGATTTTCTAATCTTAGTTGGTGAACTAGGTTCTTTAGTAGGTGACTTCCTCGTAGGGTACTCTTTCGTTGGGGATTTGGGTGAATCTGGCAATATAGGTTTTGTTGTTTTTGTTAAGGAGTCTCTCTTTAAACCCAGTTTTTCCAAACTACTTCGCCTTCGCTCTGAAGTGGTTTCTGTGATGCCTAAAATTTGTCTGCACCTTTCCTCATACGTATCGGTTCTTTTAAAAGGTTTATCCTTGGGTAAATCTTTCTTTATGGGTGAGGATTCTTTTACTGGAGATTTTAGGCTACTTCTTCTGGGTACCTCTTTTACTGGTGAACTTTTGAGAACACCAAGGTCGGTTAGAGGTGAAGTTGGTGAACGATCTGTTATTTTTCTAGTTTTTTTAGTGGCTATTATTTCCAAAGAAGTAGGCCTTTCGTCGTATTTATTAAATACGTTTTTAGTTTTAACCGTGGTGCAAATATTTTCTTCATCTAAATCTGTAGTTTGTTGCCTAATATTCCTAATATACTCTTTGGTGGTAGGTGATGGGCTACGCGACTGGGCTAGGTTCTCTTTACGCTTGGTTATAGTATTACTGTCTATCTCTTTTGTGGTCTTAGTACGCCTAGTAATGGTGTCGCTACTATAATGTCTTTCTGGCGATTTAGGACTTGGTCTATTTTTGTTTGTTATTGTTTCAGTGCTGGAAAACCTATCGGTTGATTTACGTGGCGACATGCTTCTATCCTGAAGTTTCCTGTCTGGCGAGTATCTACTAGAGTGTCTATTTTTTTCAGGGCTAGTACTACTTCTCAATGAGTTACTGCTGGATCTTAGACTGCTGCGGTGTAAAACTCTATCCGGGGTAACAGAGCGTAGAGAACGTGCAAAAGCGTCATGAGTAGGGTTGACTTCTACACTGATTTTTTTGTTGATGAATTCGCTTCTATAAGTTGTATCATACTGACCCTCGGTTGGTTCAGGTTTACGATTTAATTCAGATTGGTGGGGTTTAATTGGCTGTCTTTTATCTGGCTGCTGATATTGTTCAGGTTTTGTTGTTGGTTTATCAGGGCTAAAAGCTTGTGGAATTGTCTGTTTTTCGATGTTTATAAACTCATCGTTGGAATATCTTTCGTTTGATACATTGGTCATAGATTTATTCATTGGTTCTTCATTTATTATTGTTGTAGTTTTAGTTGTTGTATAAGTATCTTTAGAATCAACTGGTTTATAATTAGTTTTCTGTTCACAGGATGTTGTGGTTTTAACAGAAGTACTCTCTGCTGGTCTTATTTCAACAGTTATTTCTGGGGCGTTTTTACAATCATCCACGGCATACTCTATAGCCCTAGTACTTTGACTATTTTTTCTATTGGTCATATTAATGTTAGAACTATGGCTTTCCTGATGGCTTTCATGTTGAGTACTACTGCTAGAAGTATAATGCTTGCTTTTGGAGTCACCTGTGGTTTCATACCTTGTAGTAGTAATAGTTGACCCATCTGGTAAAGTTTTAGTTTCTTTATATACCTTTCTATTGGCATCATAAGGTTGTGATTCCTTCTTAGTGGTCCTTTTTATGTTTGACGAACCAGTTTTGAAAACTGTTGTTGAAGATTCGTCAATGTTTTTTGGTTCGTAATAAGTGCTATCTTCAATGTTTTCTTTTCTTACACTTGTATTTGATGATGTTTGATTACTTTTTCTTGTGCTGCTACTATTAATACTACTAGTAACTTGTTGACTTTGACGTGATGTTGATTCACCAAGAGTTTCATATCTGGTCTTGGTTACAGTTGAACCATCTTCTAACGTTTTAGTTTCTCTGTATACTTTAGTCCTCCCTTCAACGTAACCAGGTTGCTTTTTGACTTCGGCTGGAATATTATCGCCATATAATTGCTTAGTAACGGTATTAGAAGATTGTATAGCTGGTATATTATCAACCACGTCTCCAGAAGTACTCCTGCTTTCGGTTACAACTTTTGATGATGAAGAAGTTTTTGTTGAAGACGATCTAAAATTGCTATTGTCATCGCCACCTACAGCTTCTTGTTGGATTACAGAACGCGTTTCAGCGCCCACTGATTTTGTAAAGTTATTGTCGTCACCCTCTTTATACACGGATGCTTTTTGATCGTTTCTAGCGGCATAATCAACTTTACCGCCATCAAAATTTTGACTGCCTGATGTTGTCGCCGATCTTTTAGTTGTATAAGTTTTGCCATCCCGACTCACTTCGTCAGAGGAAACGATGTTCCAACCATTATTGTTATGTTTTTCTACAAAAATGTATTAATTGGTTACAATATAACAATTCTAGACACGATTTTTTACTTAATTGTCATTCTAAATTCACAAAAAAATTAAATTTAAATTACATAAAATCGTCTTTAGAATTTGGTGTTTTAAATTTCTTTTTATACAAGGTTGCGAAAAGTTGCAATTTTGCGCAAGGTTGACAATGAGGAAAGTAAAGCCCGCTGAACAACAGCCCGGTAACGGGAACCTAAACGGTAAAGGTGGGAGAGACTCAGCGAACCCTACCTATCAACAGTGGTTTTTTAGTCTCTCCCAACTTTAATGTTGTCGTTACCGTGCTAATGTTCCCGTTACCGGGCTATTGTGCAGCGGGCTTAAATGGAAAATGGAAACTGGTGAAAAAAATTGTGCTTTGCTTGTAGAAAAAATATTGCTATGTGTTATGTACAAGCGCGGAAAGTGTCTTTTCCGCCCTCGACTGATGGCCGAACTAGTAAAACTTTCCGTACTAGTTACATAAATAACTATTACCTGTTATTTTGTAGTTCATATCCCTAGTAGGAGATTCAGAGTCTCTCACTTCCTTACTTTTTAGGCTTAAAAAGCTGTGGTCTACCAATGAATCGGCATGAGTTGGCTTATCACACGTTTTTCTTTCAGTTGATTTATGTATTTCATTGCTTATTTCAGTGCTGCTGTAAAAATCTTTCAGACGGGCTTCACGTAATTTGTACATATGAGTACGGATTTCTTTTTTGCGGCCAAAGTCTGAGGTATCATGCCACTAAAAGAAAAAATGTTTAGTCATTTTTCAGTATAATCTCTGCGATGTTTTTCAATGAATGTTTAATTTTTGCGATCGGTCTTTCTATTTTGTTGTTAGAATCCGTTGTAGACACCCGTGAAACGTGAGACTTTTGGAACTTTATTTCGCATTTTGAATGTAAGGTGTAGTTAAGAAAACACCGGCCGGTTTATCAATCTCTGGTTAAGTTCCAGTTAGTCTATCTGACAATTAAATTCCATATCGATCGTTGTAAAAACAATGGTATCCATGGAGATTATCTGCCAGATAACTAACTGCAACTTTAACCGGACATTGAAAAATCGGCCCTTAGTGGTGTTACAACTATTTGCTTCTTGTGCGGCATTATTAGGTAATTAACTAACAATAAATTCCATTAAAAATTATACTAAGATACAGGAATTTTCGGGATCGGTTTCTTTACGGGATTCCGGGATTTTGGTATCCGAACTTATCTCGTAGAATGCGCCACCTGCACATTTTTTTTAACTTCTCACATTTTTATTCTTGGTTTAATTTAATTTTTTTTATTAAAATATGGTTTTCTTGATAATTCTTGCTCAAAACACTTTATAAATATCGCTACGATTCATTGTTTTTGAGATATATCCATTGGAAATTTTCAATGGAATCAAAATAAAACCTATTTTATTTACCTGAATATTTATGAAGTTGGCTTTGTCTGTCCAGATGAATCATAAACGTCACTGTTACGGACGCGAATAATGACGATTGTGATTTATCTGGAAAGACAAAGCCTACTCCTTAAATATTCTAGCTTTAGGTAGGAAAATGAAGTTTTAGTTTGAGTGCAATGGAAAAAAATGTATCAACTACAAAAAAGGTATCCTGTCGTTTTGGCGTATGTCGCGTATTTGGTAGACAAAAAAATCCTGTTTTCCCGTGTTATATAAATGTAAAAATATATATTTTTTTTATTTAAATAACACGGGAAAACAGGAATTTTTTGTCTACAAAATTTACAGTGTAGTTCTCACTTTTAAAATAAAATTCGTTATTCTATGAGAAAAGATTTTTCTGAAAAATACTCGGACACGTAAACTCAAGTTTTTATCTAAAATGTTATAGGTAGTTATAATTTTAAAGTGTTTGCCCCTACCATTTCCCCTACCACATTTATCTTAAATAGCAATCCCACTTTTTTTCATCGAAAATTGATAAAATTTTATAGGTAATTGTATATTTAAATTGTTTGCCTCTACCATTTTCCCCTAACACATTTATCTTAAATAACAATCCCACTTATTTTTCATCGAAAATTGATATTAGTGCACAATGTGCACTGCACATGGTTCTGAGTACGACGGTACCGGAAATGATTACATTTCCACCCTATATTGAAAATTATGATTACTAGCCCCTCTTATGGGGTATCAGAATTATAGTTTTTAATATAGGGTGGAAATGTAATGTCGACATTAAAAAGTTATAAATTTTGTTTTAAAATAAAAAATTCAACAATAAATAAAAATAAACTTTTCTTCAATATTATAAATGTTAAATAAATATTATAAATACTCCCCAACACCAAAACAAAACACAAAGTACTTTAAGCACTTTGTGTTTTGTTTTGCTTTTGGGGGAATATTTCTAATATTTGTTTAACATATCACCAAAGATGTCCTTTTTCAAGTATTATAAATGTTAAAAATGTTCCCCATTCACTTGCTAACATTTAGGTCTACTTTGAAATTGTCCTCGGGTAGGTATTATAATACATATATGTTCCTAATTTCGGGTTTTGTGGAAAGGTGTCATTTAAATATGTCCGTAGAGGAAGATCATATTAGGGTAGTGCACCGTTTTATAGAATGGCCAGCAAGATGAACATAAAAAACCTCTAGACATCTAAAAACCAGGGTGTTTAAAACACAACCTGCTAATTTAGATTATTTAGGAAACAGAATAACTGCAGAAATTAGAAACATAACACCGGAGGTTTTAAACAGAGTGCGAAAACAATATCACAGTTGATTAGGTTACTTAAGTTTCAACAAGTGAATTTTGAAGATTTAATAGATTAAAGAGCTGTTTATTTTTTAATTAGGTATAGTTGAATTTTTAATTTAAAAATAAAGTTTTTTTTAATCTTTTAATCATTACATTTCCACCCTATATTAAAAACTATGATTAATATACCATACTTATGTATGAAAAAAGTGGGTTATTTAAGATAAATGTGCATAATCTGGAAGGGGGGAAATGGTGAAAGTAAATAATTTAAATTTTTAATTATATGATTTTAAATAAAAAACTACAGAATACGTGTCCAAGCGTTTTTATAAAAAAAATTTCTCTTCTAAGATCGAATTTAATTTTTTAAGTAAAAACCACACTGTATATATACGATATATATGTATATCGCGACCTCTATGATATTTGAATTGTATTTTGTCGTGATCAAATTTTGATCACGACAAAATACAATTCAAATCCTGTTGAACAAGTAGGCAGAGGTTGAAAATTTTTTTAAGACAAGAAAGGGGGCAAGCGTCTAAAAATCAATTTTTCGATTATAATTGTTATAGATTAATTAATTATTTATCTGAACTCAAAAAAAGTTTTCCTTAAATACATGTAACAACGCGTTAAGCCTGATTTATAGATTGCCTTCCTTTCTTCCTTCCTTCCGTAGAAGATGAACAATATAAAAACCGTTGTGCTGTTTAAAGATTCCCGTACGGCACTACCATTTTCGTATTGTTCATCTTCTACGGGAGGAAGGGAGAATGGCAATCTATAAATCAGACTTTAAACATTCTCCGTTTAGGGATGTATCAAAACTTAAAGTTAGGATTCAATTTTTTTTTACCATTTTTCGTAGAAGGTCTTCATCTTGTATAAGTTTTACGTCCCTGGACGTATCGACCGACATGGCCACCCCTTATTATATCTGAAATTAAAAAAAATGTTTTTTATCTATTGAACATAATAATAATTAAAATTATAAATCATTATTTAGAATATGAAAATATATTTTATCTCCACGCGGTCTATAATTTAAACTTTATTGTTGTCAACATTCGATAAAGAAATACCTTGTTATGGCCTAGGCCGATAAAAATTTTTATGAGGCAAGTAATTAGTTCGATTTTTTCTCGCTAGGGGTATTGTTTTGACAAATTAATCCTTTTCTAAAAAATGAACATACTAAACTGGTTTAATTTATTTATAATAAGCACTAATTTGTTTGTTTTACTGTTAATGTTTAATATTTTTCATTAAATTATTGTAAAATTAAATATGAATAATAAAACAAAAAGTGAGGTTAGGCAACCAAGAAAATGCACGATTCTTTTTCTACAATTTAAATTATCTTTGCTTTAAGTTTTCAGTGAAATTAAATGTTAAACACAGCTTAAACATTCCAAACTACGTATTTTTTAAATAAAAATCCAAACAAATTGAAATTAGATACCTACCTATTTATTAAACAATTAATTAAATTCAATGTAATAGCAAAAATCCATTTCTACTTAAATCATGTAGCTAGGTATTGTCAAACTATTACTGCTTCTAAAAGCAAAAATAATTATTGTACATTTAATGTAATCTTTAGCTAATAAATAAATGAGATTCTAAAAAAGTGAGGTTAGGCCGCTTTGATGTTGAATTAAATTGACCTATATAAAGTGCTTTGAAGATAAAATCTTGTATGCCATTCGGCCAAGAAGTGCCTTTTTGTGCTTCGCTCAATTGTAGGCCTCCGCTACGCGTCGGCCTTCAAACCTTGAGCTTAGCACAAAAAGCCTTACTTCTTAACCTAATGACGTAAATAACTATTCTTAATATATTTCATTTTCATTATTAAAAAAAATTCGGGTACGGTCCTGTTCACTCGCCTACTATCGATATCATACCGTTGAGTGAAGGAGTAGGGAATCAGTGGTCATACTGTATCTCACCGGTGTGACTGTAACGTTATTGGTATATAACCAAATCGGTGACTTGGGAAATTTGATCCTTCTGATTGTTCAGATGGGAAAGGATGAATGGGTTCTTGCAGGACCATTTCCTGAAGTCTGCAACCAAACTTGTTACGATTTTGGCAGGCCACTACCCAACTGATCCCATCTGATTTAAGGGTCCATTAAAAAATTTAACCAATATAAAATTAGAACGTAGGGCAATATATTTCTTCTTATCAATAAATAGGTATATAAACTTATTTTATATAGGTACCATTATAATAATATATTAGTTTAAGGGCAAATAAATATGTTATAAAATTATTATTTCATTTTATCCTGATTTATTGAGGCTATTTCAAAATTCCAGCTGTTCTGTTACACATTCATCAATTTTTTCAAATACACGTGGTGTTGTATTATAAATAGGTTTATAAACTTATTTTATATACCATTATAATAATATATTAGTTTAAGGGCAAATAAATATGTTATAAAATTATTATTTCATTTTATCCTGATTTATTGAGGCAATTTCAAAATTCCAGCTGTTCTCTTACACATTCATTAATTTTTTCAAATACACGTGGTGTTGTATTCTGGGTTGCCTAACTTGTATACAATATTCGTAATAGATAAGTACAAAACAAAATATTGCTTAATTTGGATTTCCTGATAGGTATCTATAAGTGTTCGTGTGTTTAAATTTATTTTTTCCTTATTTGAAAATAAACAATACATAAAACTTCTAAATTAAAATCTTTATTTAATAGTTTACGAAATTGATGGAGCTCCTTTCAGAATAAATTATAATTTATAATTTATTATAATAATAATAATTATAATAATTATTATTGTCCACTCAAAAATCTGTATGAATTGCCTACTTAATAATCCGTATGAAATCTTGCAGGTGGTAAAATTTTAATTTAAAATTTTTGTTTTTTAATAATTTGATTTTCTTATTTGTATTTTTGGAAATAACTCAATATTGAAATGACACCTAATGTAATTTTCAGGGTGTTTACGGTATATAACGTTTGTCTGAAAATACTACCAAATATTTACAAAAACTGAACTATGAAAAGTTTTTAACTTCTGTAAAAAAATTATGACGCAGTCTGATCTGATCATGATCTCATAATTGTAGGTAGTAAAATTTGCAAAGTTGACAATAGATGTGTATTTATTTTAATTTTTTAAGGTTTAATTTTTGCAAATATTTGCCTATGCTTTAGTATTTGACCGGATCATATTCCTGTTAATTTTTGGGACCTTGATAAAACTAAATTTGTATCTTTGTAATAACTAAGAAATAATAATTTGGATAACTAAATAAATAAAATAGATTTTTTAGGACCTTATAAATCTGCTGGTAAGTCATTAATATTTACCATCACTTTGATGCTCCAATATTTAAATTACAAATAATGTAATTGCATATAAAAGGACATCAAAGTCGGTTATTTTTTATATATTTTTTTCGGTTACATAACAGAATAACAATTATTTCCTACATTTTTAAATATAGATCTATTGATTTGCTACCTACGCGCATTAAGTTTATGTGGAAACATGTGTATGTGTAATTATTTATGCCGCTTATGGTAAAATTAGTTATTATTAAATAAATCTACATATGTAACATGTACCCACTTATTTTAAACGACAAATATTTGTTATTAACAGAAATGTTTAAAAATAATTATTATTATTGTTTATTTGTTAATAATTTGAATTAATTTATACATCTAAATAAATTAAATCAAATTATTAACATATAAACAATAATAACACTATGATAGTTTTAGAAACTTTTTTCCCTAACATTGAGTACTCAAGCTAAGTTTAACTAATTTTGGACCGCTGATTTCAAAAATGTAATTTATTTTTCTCTAGGGCGTCTAGGTTTTTTGTTAGTATTTTAATTATTTATTAAATTATTTTGGCTTAAAATTATCTTGAATGTACTGAAGTAATTGGTATACGTCAAATAGATCATATTTATCTTAACAATATGATATTTTAAAATTTACAAAATTTAATGCATTGCATAATTTTGCTTTTTTCTACCTTAAATTTATTAAATCGTATCAAATATCGAATTGAATTATAGTATTAATCATCATCATCGTCGTACACCTTTTGCTGCAAATTCCAGCAAATGTCTTTCACCAATGAATCCAACTTCTTTCCGCTATACCCAGAGACACCTACCAATGCTCTAAATTTGCAGTTACTTGGTGAAATCGTTCTCCATGTTCATCAGTTCGGCAAATTTATCAGGATAAAAACAAAGAAAATGTATTTTAAATGACATATTATTGGTAATTCTTTACAAAACGAAGAGCATTTTTTCAATGAATTGGCGCCAATTTTAGGCCCGATATGAACCAAGAAAATTTTCAATGACAGCTTTAACACTGCCATATGCGACAAGCTCGTCAACTTTGAGAGCATTTTTGAATGCTTAATCTTTCATTAAACGTCGTATTAAGGCACAGTCTGTGTATTAAGGTCCATTTAATATTCCTGCAAAATTAAAGTAGTAGATATACCTGTCTCATAAAATTTTGTAATGAAATATTGCGTTGATTTTTCTTGGGCGTAAAGGTACCGCAACAAAAACAAAACAAATTTACAACGACAACATTAAGGTTCGTCTCCTTTCTCTTTCTCTGCCACTTCCATTACCACTTCCATTCCCTGCTCTTTTTTCATTTTTGGTTTTAAAATCACTTTCAAGTAAAAATACGATTTAAAGTTTAAATTTTAAATGTCAAAAATTAATAGATGCACTTAAATTAAATTGAAATTAATGTGCTTGAACGCTAATACTTCAATTCGATATTAAATCTTGATAAGACTTAATAAATAAGATTGTAGATTGAATTTTTGGATACTTTAGGCATAATGTGAATAAAAAAAGATCAAATAATGGTCGAAGGGTAATTTTATACCGAAATCCATTTACTTTGTTGCCTTTTCAATTTAATTAGTAGGTAATTAAAAAAACGACACAAAAATTTCAAAAAATGATACTTTTTAACCAAAAAAACATAATAATTTTAGTTTTGGTATTTAATACTACTATAGTGTAGGGCTACTAGAAACAAAAAAAAAATTCTATTTGACATTTATCTACCGATGGTCCCTGTATATTTTTGACAAAAAACGTCAAAAATATACTCAAAAATAGGTAAAATAATTTAATAAATAATCAAAATATTAACGAAAAACTTACATTTTGAGATTGGGCAGAGCATTTTATTACGCAATTATTTCGAATCCTGGAGCAAAACGAGTGGTGGCATTTTTGAAATCAGCAGCCCAAAATTAGGTAATATTACTACGCCCTCCTATAATAGGAGGGCGTAGTAATTCGAATAATATAATATAATATAATATAATAATAATAATAATTATTATTAAACATTTCTTTGAATAACTAATATTTGTATAGTAATAGTACTGAGATAACTTTCTTTAAAATCAACATGGCTTTGTAATAATAGCCTTGTTTTGGTAAAAATCTTTACGAAAACAAGGCTTTACTATTTTTTTTATACGAATGGCTAAATTTTTTTTTAAGATATCCCTACCTTGCATATAAAAAAAATAGTATAGAAATCATAATCCCATCTCGACACATTTTTTATTCATAAAGATGATTTTGCATTTAACTGTATGCTATCTAAACAATCTTAAATTTCAACGATCTTAATGCTACTTTCTTAGAATTAAGACTGTAACGAAAACGTTGTATAATAAACAAACTCTTTACAAACTGTATATCATTAAAGAGGGATAGTAAAAATCCCAAATGTCTGCCACTTAGCTTGTCTAACCAAAAACGGCTTGTACCTATTTGGTTATAACTTTACATTTACATGCAACATCGGATGATTAAAAAAAAAATGAAAGGTATACTTAAGTAATGAGAAAGTTTAAGTAATCAAGTGTTGACATAATAATTAATAACTTA